GAAAGAAAGAAAGAAAGAAAGAAAGAAAGAAAGAAAGGGAGAGAGGATGAAAGAATGGAGTGAAAGTGAAGGAAAGGAGAAAAGAATGAGGAGAGAAGGGGAAACAAAGAAGAGAAACAAAAAACAAAAACGAGAAAGAGGAGAAAAGGGGGAGAGAAGAGAAAGGAGAGGTGAAAGGAAAGAGAGAGACGAAAAGAAAGATGAGAGGAGGAGAAAGAGAAAGAGAGAAGAACAGAGGAGAGGAGAGAAGAGAAGAATTGAAAAATATTCCTCTACGCTGTTTCCCATTCATCCAGGATTCAGGATCTAATTGGCGGCTCTTTTTAAGTTTCACCTTACAGACTGACTACAATAAAAACACGGTCAGAGATTCCTGGTGTGTCTCACAATCTCCCTCCTAAGCTGCTTTTCCCAAGTTCTTCAACAGGAACAATCTCCATTTCCTTACTGCAGTCTTTTCTTACTGCAGAAAGCAGTCTTTTCTCGATTTATTTGAACTGGCCAAAAAAGAATTTCCCACACCGGTGTGTGTGCGTGTGTGTGTGTGTGTGTGTGTGTGTGTGAAGGATGGTCTCTCCTTGTCCCATCCCATCCCCACCCCAACTCTACTCCATGGAAAAATTTACCTACCGAGTAACAGTACGGTGGGTTCAGTCCAGCGAAAGTCTGAGCAAGAAGCCACCGGAATGTCTTCCGGAATCTTTCGGTGGCCAACCGTCCCGAGAATTTCCCAGCCTTCTTCGGATTTTGCCTTGGGGGTGGGGGGGAGAGAGGAGGGGGGGAAAAAGTCACTCAAGTTTCAAAGGCGTAGAATCAAGTTCACGTGAAGTGTTAATAATACTCCTTTTCTTGGTAAGGCCACGCTTGGAATCCCGCATCCAATTTTGGTCACCACAATGTAAAAAAAGATGTTGAGACTCTAGAAAGAGTGCAGAGAAAAGCAACGAAGACGATTAGGGGACCGGAGATTGAAGCAGATATCATGTCGGTTGCTGGAACTGGGTATGTCTAGTTTGATTAAAAGGAGGACTAGGGGAGACATGATAGCAGCCTTCCAATATCTCAGGGGCTGCCCCAGAGAAGAAGAGGGAGTCAAGCTATTCTCCAAAGCACCTGAGGGCAGGACCAGAAGCGATGGGTGGAAACGAATCAAGGAGAGAACCAACCTAGAACTAAGAAGAAATTTCTTGGCAGTGAGAACAATTAACCAGTGGAACAGTTTGCCTCCAGAATTTGTGGGTGCTTCATCACTGGAAGTTTTTAAGAAGAGATTAGATATAACCATTTGTCTGAAATGGCATAGGTTTTCCTACCTAAGCAGGGGGTTGGACTAGAAGACCTCCAAGGTCCCTTCCAACTCTGTTATTCTATTCTAATTCTAATTCTAATTCTAATTCTAATTCTATTCTATTATTCTATTCTATTCTATTCAGATCTGTGCAACATTTTCCTTTTTTTACACAAAGCTCAATCCTTTTGTTTCCTGGAAGGAATAGGGAAAAAATTATCCTGGTTGGTTTTTGGTTAAGTCGCTAGGCATGCTGCCCTATAAAAAAAAAGCTATTAATCTAGGAAACAAACAAACAAATAAATAAAAATAATTTGAATTGACTAATCCAATGTTTCTTAAATATAGCAACTAAAAAGGTGGGTGGACTACAACTCCCAGAATTCCCCAACCACTCAGAGTTGAGCGGCTTAAAGATTTAATAAATGAATGAATGCATAAACTCCCAGAATCTTCCAGCCAGCATTCTTGAAGCTGGGTGGATTTCTATCCCCAGAAACCCCCAGCCATTTGTGAATTTGGCTTTCTACCTGATTCTTCCCAGAAACTACAAGTCTTCCAACCCACCCGGTCGAATTTATGCCTAGGGAAAAACTGAGATTTTGAGAACCAGTTAAAAAACAAATGAAAGGAATTTGCACTATGGTTTCAAATGTGTGTCTGTGTGTGTGTGAGAGAGAGAGAAATAGAGAGAGAGGGAAGAGAGAGAGGAGAAGAGAGGAAGAGAGGAAGAGAAAAATAGAGAGAGGGAAAGGAGAAAGAAAGAAAGGGGGGACGGAGAATAGGAGTGAAAGACAGAAATGAAAGAGAGAGGAAGGGAGAAAAGGAGGAAAAGAGAGAGCGTGAAGAGAGATACAAAAAGAAAGGGATGGAGAAAGAGAGAGAGAGAACAAGAAAAAGGGAGGGAGGGATGGAGAAAGAGAGAGAGCAAGAAAGAGGGAGGGAGGGAGGGAAGGAGGGGGGAGAGAGAGAGAGAGAGAGAGAGAGAGAGAGATTGTTTCCAATTGTTGCCCAATGCTACCATCTCATGGCCATTTCTTGTATTAAAAGCACCTGGTACTCGAGCAGTCCTTGACTTATTATGACCAAAATTAAGCCCAACATTTCTGTTGATAAGTGAAAGGTGTGTTAAGTGATTTTTTTTTTTGTTCTGTTAATTTTTAGCCATCATTCGGCACTACAGATAAATAACTCCAACTGGGTGCGGTTGCGAATTATTAAAGACAGGAGGAGTTTACCTTAAGAAGTTCTTGAACATCATCAGTGCTAAACACATCGAAAACCTCCATGACGCCAGAGCTGGCTTTGCTAACCACGGGCGTCAGGGAGCAGCTGCAAATAGAAAAGATACAGTTTAGAAAAAAAACCCTCGAAAAGGATGGCAAAACTTCACAATTATCTCAAAAGCCACACTTTTTTTAAAAAAAAAAAAGACACACTTCAGCAGAACAAAATCCCAACCCTAATCCAGTTGTTACAGGTTCAGAGAAATGGGAGACCTCACAGCAGCTGCAAGGCATGTGATCCAGTTTCTCTCTCTCTCTCTCTCTCTCTCTCTCTCTCTCTCTCTCACACACACACACACACACACACACACACACACACACACACACACAGAGTGATTGCAATTGTGGTACAATTGCAGTGGTACACTATTACTGGAGATGGAGGCTCCTTTGCTGACTCTCAGAGCTAGCTACCCTCCCAAACTGACTCAACTCAAAGATGCACCTTAACTAGCAGTGAGCTGACAAGGTATGGTGTCCCACCAGTGGCCAGCGGCCCCTTGCAGCAGATTTGGACAGTGAGGAGGTTGGGGAGGAACATGGGTCAGTCCTGGAGTCTGGGGAAGGCTCTCACAAGGGCTCTGCATCGGAGGCAGAGATGGCCAGGGCCGTCCGACAGTTAATCGGCTGCCTTTGGAGTCTAAGATCAGTGGGGCAGAAGAACAGCTGGAGCCTGTTCCCAATGTGCACATGCACAGAGCTGCCAGGAGAAGGGAACAGTTAAGGAACAAGGGTCGACTCGGGAGTATAGGCACAGGTGGATGGTGAATGGCCCCTCCCATAGGGAATAAAGAGGAGCAAAAGCGGAGTGGTGTTTACAAGTGGGACTAGAACTCACTTCTAGTGATTGGTGCAAAGTCAGCCAGCTGGCTTTCATGCCTAAGATGGGACTAGAACTCAATGTCTCCTGGTGATTGGCCCAAAATCACCCAGCTGGCTTTTATGCCTAAGACAGGACTAGAACTCACTGTCTCCTAGTGATTAGCTCAAAGCCACCCAGCTGGCTTTCATGGCTAAGATGGGAGTAGAACTCACTGTCTCCTGGTTTCCAAGCCAGCACCTTAACCACTTCACCAAACTGACTCTCTATTATTCAACACTTTGTTGACTATTGTTCAACCAATTTTGCTTTTCTCAGTCCAAGAAAGTCCGGCTCACCTGTTCCTTTGACTCATCACCATCCCGTCCACCCCTAGGAAGTGCGCTGTACGCAGGACCGCCCCCAAATTCATGGGATCGTGTATCCCTTCCAAAACCAGCCAGATGCGCTGCGACCCCTTGCCAACCGGGGCTCGGTGGAGTGGCCCTTCCTGCCATGCCAGGGGGCGAAGAGGGGAGGCTTCCAAACACACACCCTGATGGACTCCCCCTTTACAAAGGGCGTCCAAGACCTTCTTCTGCACCCTTTTCACCGGGATGCCACGTTCCTCGGCATACTGGGAGAACTTTTCTGCCCCAGGAGATGTTCCATCTCGACTCGCTTTGAGGAAGAGCTGGAAAAACCTCCTCTTGGACCTTCCAAGGGCCAAGGAGCAGGGGGATGTCCCAAACAAGATCTCCGAGCCTTGATTCCTTTCTGGCAGACAAAGATGTCTCTGCGGCTTTTTCTGCTTGGAGACAAAGTCGTCATTTCTCAGGTTCCGGAATTCTTCCTTAATGGTGGATGGCAGAGCTTTGGTGCGGAATTTTGGGAAGGGTTTATTCTCAGGAACATCACCCTGGTGGTTGGTTTTCCCACGGGGATGCGGTGTGGAGTTCAACTGGCGAGTTTCCTGACGTTTCGACGCTTCCGGGGAACGGCCAGGCTGCAAAGCTGCCGTTTCTTCGTTGCTGACTTCCTTGAGAGGCTGATCTTCCAACAACGGCGTTTTTTTCTGCGTGGAGAAGTAGCGGACGCTCTTAAAAGGAGTGGCAAGACAACTGACAAAGGGCAATTTTGCCGCTTTTCGGAAGGCAGCGTTAAAGGCATGGAGAGGGTCCATTCTAAGTCTACTTCTTCATGGGTAACCTTGAGAAAAGAAGTGGAATATTATATGCAATGCTATGATTCCCTAGATCAGGGTGTCAGGGTTCCGGAAGTTACCCAGATTTAAATCATGAGTCTTGAGCCAAACTTCCAAAACTTAAAAAGGAATTAATGAGAGTTAAAATGTCCAGCACTGTCTGGGTGTAGCTGACTCTGAGACACATCATTCATTGTCACCCTTGCCCCTGGTTCTCCCTCCACCCCCTGGGTGTATCGTAATTCATATTCTCCAATGGGACCCATCCATAGCCAAGAGTCATCAATCATGCTCTCCAGTTAGAATTTTGCAAGGCAGAAACTTCAGTCACCTAGTTACTATCTTTGAAAACATTTATGGAATGCAGTTTCAGTTTGCAAGTTGCTGCACTGCTCCCCTCTCCCTTTCTGTTCTCAACTCTAAAAAGACCATAGAAATATTTTATGAGTTGACACGGAGATCTCCAAATGTGGCAACTTTAACACTTCAACTTCCAGAATTCCCCAGCCAACTGGGTTGAAATCTCAACCAATAAATGCTTTGTCCTATCCATTGGTAAAAAAAAATCAGTACACCAAATACAAGCTAGGCGGATATGACCTCGTTGAAGACCCTACTCTGTCAAGGACCTAGGAGTACTCATATCAAACAACCTAAGCGCCAGAGCTCACTGTAACAACATTGTCAAAAAAAGCATTAAGAGTTGTAAATCTAATCTTACAAAGCTTCTCCTCTGGAAATATTGAATTGCTACCTAGGGCATGCCAAAACTTTGCTAGACCAATACTTGAATACAGCTCAGCTGTCTGGAATCCACACTGCATATCAGACATTAATATAATTGAGCGAGTCCAGAAGTATTTCACGAGAAGAATACTACACTCCTCTGCTAGCAACAGAATACCTTATAGTACCAGGCTTGAAATTTCGGGCTTGGACAACCTAGAACTACGCTGCCTATGGTTGGACCTAAATGTAGTACACACAATTATCTGCTACAACGTCCTACCAGTCAACAACTACTTCAGCTTCAACCACAACAATACAAGAGCACACAACAGATACAAACTCAATGTAAACCGCTCCAAACTTGATTGCAGAAAGTACGACCTCAGCACATTGAGTGATCAATGCCTGGAATGTACTACCTGACTCTGTCGTTACAGCCTCAAATCCTTTAATCTTAAACTATCCACTATTGACCTCACTCCATTCCTAAGAGGTCTGTAAGAAGCGTGCATAAATGCACAATCGTGCCTACCGTCCCTGTCCTATTGTCCCGATTTATTCATACCTATTTCCTGTATTCATACTCATGATTATCCTTATACCTATTGTCTTGTAAGCGATTGACAAATCAGATAAATAAAATAAAATAAAGCCCACAAGTCCTAAAGTTACCATGTTTGGAGATCCTTGTCCTAGATCGAGGAGTCCCAACCACTTCCAAACTTCAGTTGCCAGAATTCCTCAACCAGCACAGCCCTTGACTGGACCTGGAGCCAGTCATTCTCTCTCAGCCCAAAGAAAGAGGCAAGGCCTACCACTTCGGGGGGAAAAATTGGCAAGAATATTGCGGGGACCAATCCAGGAGTTGCCATGTGTCAAAACTGATTTAAAGGTATCCCCAAAATAGCACAATGAAATAATAAAAATAATGGTCGCTGCTCTGTCTCTAATGTCATAATAAGCGACATGAGAAAAAAAATCATTAAAAGAATTCAACGGTTGCCAATAGGATTTCTGCAAGTCAAAGTTGAAGGAAAGACTGCTATCTATCTATCTATCATCTATCTATCTATCTATCTATCTATCTATCTATCTATCTATCTATCTATCTATCTATCATCTATCTATCTATCATCTATCTATCTATTTTACATGTCGGCCATATCCCTCTATTTTGCAATTCTGGGTGGCTTTAAAATATCATAAATGACAATATAACACAATTGAAAGGTTAGAAGCATTAAAACTCAAGGGACTAAAAGTTCAAATCGACAACAAAGTAGACAAAAATGTGATGCCCTAAGTTTAACTATTTTTTTTAAAAAAAATCATTTTTAAAAATGTGCTTCTCTGCTTTCCAAACAGGATGGGATGTTATCTATGGAGATTCTCAATCATCCACCTCATGGTTGCCTCAAAGGTGCTTTTTACAAAAGACAACTGGAGTTTGTTTGTTTTTCCATTGAAAACGATTTGCTTCTCATCCAAAAAGCTGCTTCTTCACTTCTTTTTTTCAGTCTTCCATAGTTCAGTTCAGAAGCGAAGAAGCTTCTGGGATGAAAAGAGGAACGTTTTCAAAGGGGAAAAAAAATAGAAAGTCCATTTGCTCTTTGGAAAAAAACACTTTTGGGACAGCAGATGAAAAGGAATAGGCTGAATGGAAAAGATGGTTTTTTTAAAAAAAAAATTGCTATGCATTGGCCGGGAATCGAACCCGGGCCTCCCGCGTGGCAGGCGAGAATTCTACCACTGAACCACCAATGCATTCATACTGAATCCTACTCCATCCTGCCCCTTCAGCCAAAATATTTTCCCTATGAAATCGTTACTATTTCCTTATGATATGTGAGGACATTAGAGCAAGCTTGTGTGCATACCAGCACAGCCAGGAGTGCCAAAGCCTATGCTTCCCAGCCAACATATAGGGGAATTATGCATCCTGGAGTCTGAGCCATATAGAGGGCATCAGGCTGCGTAAGCCTCAGTCATAGGCAGGGGGAAAGTTTCAAGATGCACCCAAAAGGGTTTGGGGGAAGGAAAAATAAAATGTGGTTTATAATCAGCATTTTTCAGGCTCGGCCCCTTTAAGATGCATGGACTTCAACTCCCAGAATCCCAAGCCAGCATGGACTCTACGACCGGCAACGCAGGTACTTATCCTATGCACGCTTTTTCTGGCATTTTTGTCTTATTCATTTTGCAAAGTCCTCAATATGCGTTCGCCGTTTACCTGCTCTTTTCGCCGAGCCAGAGATTTTAGGGTTTCAAAGCAACTTCTACCACCCTCGGCGCCACGGGCGTTGGATTAACTTCCGGGTTCAGGAAGGAACGCTCTTTCCAATCACAGAGTTCTCACAGAAATCATAGAGCGGCGACCGGAAGGAGGACTTTGTTGTTTGGTTTGGTGGAGGATTAAGCGTCTGTATGCGCAACGGGCTGGGTCGGTCTTTGTAGAAACCTTGCGACTGATTGAGTGGCTGGGGGTGATGGGAATAGAATAGAATAGAATAGAATAGAATAGAATAGAATAGAATAG